GATCTTTTTTTGTATATACTGAAGATGGCCCGACCTCAGACCACTACACGTGCCGTGGCGTCCCGCAAGATGGTGTTTTAAGCCCAGTTCTTTTCAATTTTTCTTTACTTGGCCTGGCGGAAGCTCTTCCTGAAACAGTCAGTGCTTCAATATACGCTGATGGCATCTGTGTCTGGGCATCGGCATTGACACGCCTACAAGTTCGAGCAAGGATACAGAGGGCAGCGTCGCAAGCATCTGATTATCTTCGCACGCAAGACCTAACAATGTCAACAGAAAAATGTGCACTGGTGGCCTTCACGGGCAAGGCGATGACAGGTTACCCATAAGCATAATGGCCAGCCAATCTCTTACAAGCGTAAACATCATTTTCTAGGTGTCACTGTTGACCGCAACCTCTCCTGGAGCCATCATGTGACTAGCATATAAGCGAAACTGGTATCTATTGCCCACGTCCTGAAAGTAATCGCTGGAAAAAGATGGGGTCCGTCATTGAGTTCCATGCTAAAGCTTTACCAAGCACTTCTTATTGGTGTACTGCGCTACAGTTCTCCTCTGCTGTCTAAAACTTGCAACATGAACATTTGAGCACTTCACAGCGTGCAAGCACAGGCACTACGTGTTACTTTCAGCCTACCACGAACTCCCTCAACCGCTGGAACAGCTATATTGGCTCGAGATCATCCGGTTACGACCTACGTCACAACCGATGTGCTGAGAGCACAATTCACGGATGGTATCGAGCCATTTGAAGTTTCTGCCAGAAAAACGACCACAGGCGTCGTTCTCTAAGGTCGTCAGCTCCCACCGCGCTTTGCTACCATCCGATTTTATACCCTTGGCGCGTTTACCGTCCGCCTAGTGGAGCCTACGACAACCCGACGTGCGCCATTCTATCCCTGGAAAAGGAAATGGAAAAGTCGTTTCTGCCTTGGCCTTGAAGCAAGCGACTCTGGACTGTTTACACACTTTCTACGCGGACAGAATCCACGTATACACGGATGGATCTACCACCCAGACTACCTCCACCGGTGCCACCGTCATTCCATCGCGACACATCAACATCACTTACAAACTTTGCCACGTGAGTACATAGACTGGTTCGGAAATTGTAACCCTGCGAGGTGCCATCGAATATATCAAGCAACAACCGGCTATTCGAAGGACAGTATTCTGTGACTCAAAGGCGGCTCTACAAACTCTTTCGTCGGCACTTCGTCGTGGGTCCCACGGACAACTAGTATGGGAGATCAGAGAAATGCTGCACTATGCGACCAAACAAAGACACAACGTTGTGTTCCAGTGGATACCAAGTCATTGCGGTATCTCCGGCAATGACCTCGCCGATGAAGCAGCCACAAATGCACACGTACAAGCAAACCCTGTCTCCATACCTTTATCTAAGATTGACTCAGCTAGATATTTAAGTAAGCTGGCACAGGACATGACACTCCAGAAGTGGCCGTCCTCACAGTTCGCACATCATCCACTATATTCTCTCGATCCATCTCTACGACTGCGGCTACCCTCTGCTCTTTTTAGGGAGGAAGGTATAGTGATGTGCCATCTGCGTCTGCTCGTAGCCTTCACCAATGCCTACTCATTTAAGATAAAGATGGCCAACAGCGCGGAGTGCAACTACTGCGCCGTCGATGCGACTATTGAACACATCTTATGTTACTGCCCGGCATACACAAACGAGAGGCTTCACCTGCGCAGTGTTTTGAATCAACTGGACAGAAGTGATTTCAATGTCGAGAAAGTATTGAGACCATGTCACTGCCCATCCGATTTCCGAAAAGCAACGAAAGCACTGTTGCATTTTCTCAAAGCCACCGCCCTGTTTCATCGTTTGTGATGGTGAGTGTTACACGTCGGCCCAGTCAGTGACCTTTTCTCTCCTCTTCTATAACTTTCATTCCCCTCTCCCCTTCCCCAGTGCAGGGTCGCCTACCGGGGCTCAGCCCTGGTTAACCACCCTGCCTTTCTCCTTGTGTTCTTTCTCTCTCTCTCTCTCTCTGCACACAAGCAGTTTGTCCTGTTTTTTGTCGTGACGAAAAGGAAAAGCAGCAGCCACGGGCCTGTTTCCGTGCACCATTAAAACAATCACTTAGTGTTTCGTTGTTTCACCCCGAGCAGCCAATATTGCGGCAATTCTGCGTGGCAAGTTTATGCAAAGCTGCCGGCCACGGAATAACGAGCTAGCTTCTGCCATATTTAGTCAATAATAGGCCACAGTTTGCCCTAGCGACACTAATACATATCATTTCCATGTTGCCTGAAAGAAAGCCTGTTACTCTTTTTTTTTTCTTGTCGAGGCAGAAAGCATGAAGAAAACTTTCAATGATTTATGCAGGTGTTTATCAGGTATATGAACGCACATAAGGCGCAATCTTCTAACTGAATCTTGAGTCTCACTTGCACAGAATGCGTATAACACATCGCCTCAGTGCGCAGATTGAGAGGGCCGTCTGCTGGCGCCGCAATAAATGTGGTGCGCAGTGGTGAGCTAGTGTGGTCGACATACGAATGTGTGTGAGCCTTGCAGCGCCACGCTGGCAGTCTACACATGGTGAACAACAGGCCGACAATTCGGCGACCGGAAGTAGTAATCCTGCTCCGTAGGTGTTCTGCCCCTCGTTCTACACCAGCATGCAACACATTGGTTCTACGCACACGCATGAGCGGCGGCACATGTACCGTCGGCCACACGCTCCGAGTGTGCTGTTTCAATCCGTGAGTAGCATATGTGCGTAGCCTTCTGTGCTTATCAACCTTCAGCACCTCACTTCTTTTTGTCCCTTTATCTCAAAGCAGAGTAGCAGCAGGCTAGACATAACACCTCCGGTCGACCTGGCGTGCTTGTCCCCTACCGCACCAACAAGATTTGGGGAAGAGCCTGTGGCCGCTGCTGAGTATCAGCTAAGGATTAGCTAAGGCTACTGGTGGAACTTCGAGGATCAGCTAAGGCGTGTGGCGAGGGCCCAGGATGCGGCCGTAGCTCATCCTGGACTAAACGCACCTCCCCTTGGCAGTATCATCAAATAAATACGTGCATCCTCTCTCTTTCTATAACTACATTTCTTTATGTTACGCTCATTGACATGGATAATAATGAAATAGCGTTGAAAAATTCGTTTCGCCAGAATTCTGGCGTTGGCGCCATTAGTTTTGAAGAAAAGTCATCATTTTGTCAATGACCGAAAAATGGAGAAAGATTAAACTACAATAAATAATGAAAATTTCCAGATCAGAGTGAGGATCGAACCCAGGCTGTTTACATGGCAAGCAGGGGTTCTATTACACACCAATGAGTCTGCTTGGAAGTACAGATAAAGCAACTTCCACTGCTTGGAAATGCAGTGAAAATAATTTTTACGCTTTGCAAACACATGCATCCTGTATACAGGCTTCACGTACAACATATCACTAAAATATTGCGTCATACAAGCGTTCGGGCGTCGAAACATGTGATTATCAAAACTACTTCATGGTTTAAAACGCCCACCCATTCCAAAAATGACACACACATTACTGCGCGTAATGACATACTTCAGCCGCGAAATAACACAAACATAGATATCATTCAGCAAGCATGCATCAACTAGGCCAACAAACAGCCTTGATATAGCACAACTAGTCGCCTCTCACTGGATGATGAGCTCATGTTCTCCTGCATTAGGCGCTTAAAACGATGCTTAAGGTGGGGCCTACCCCTTATCCTTGTCGTTGTGTGTTTCGTTACTATGTGTTTGTGTTATTTCATGACTAAAGTATACGTCATTACGCAAGTACCAACTAAGCTAAAAACAATCGCAATATAGCACATCTATTGTTCTTTCGCTGGATGATAAGCAGATCTGCTTCGGCATTAGGCGCCTAACAAGGTTACTGCGCGTATTCCCTTTGAACCACGGAGCAGGTACTTATAAATTCTAAAACATTTCACGTGCATTATTGCTTTTGGTTTAAGCATGCTACTCATTACACAAGATGCAGCCATATGCGAAAGTTACATTGACACAAGCCACTGCCATCTTTATCATTTACATTGTCGCAATTCACTATATAAAATTTTCGAGTACCATCATACAATAAAAAGTCTGTACTAAGTAGCTGACGTGCACTATGTGTACAAAATATCGCTATCGCGTTCAACTCTTAAAGGCGAAGCTTAAAGATCTCCCTATTTTTTCGCTCAGTTTTTCATTTTTTAAGAGCTTAAAGTGTGCAGTACTGGACAACATCCGAGCTGTTCCACTTTATTGGCTGTCCCACCTGCATTGAACTGGACCCCACTCTAATACCACAGTCACATCATTAAACATAAACGCACCTTGAGCAAGTGCTTTTCATTCGCACTGAGAGTCACTTTGGTGGCACGATGATAAAAAGAGAAGGGTCCTTGGGAAGGGATGGCAGTGGCGACGACTAAGTCAGTTACTCTGCATGTGTTTGTTATTTTAGGCAGTATTTTACAAAGGATAATGGGTAATAACTATAAACAGCCTTTTGGATAAACCTTACAAACGTGGTGTACGAGGACATCGTACGACATGTGCTCGGGCGCGCACTTGGTAAACGCTTTCGTAAACTGCGCAAGGGCGAGAATAGTATAGAAGTTTTTTTTTCTTTCTGTTTCTAATGACAAAAGCTATGCGATTAAAATACTGCCGAAGCATCAAAGTGAGTACGGCGAACGCACTTGCCGGCATGTACATTCTGCTGCAAGTGTCACACAGCGTTGCCGCGTGGCAGAGTGTGAATGACACTGTCGGTGACGTGCACATGGAATCGCTCAAAGTGCCGTTTCGGTTATCTGTTGACAAGGAAAGAAAGAAAAAACTAAAGCGCAGTACCTGTCAAAGACACAGTTGAACTCTAAACACCCGACACAAAACGGTAAAGTGAAAAAATGTCCACAGCACGGTGACATTCATCAAGCCAAGACAAAACTACACGCAAGCATAGCGATGGAAATGTTAAAGACCTTAACGTACCTGCGTCACCGCTTCGTCCGATTCCGGTTTCATGGTGATGGTCCATAAGCGGCAAGAAGAGACAGCGTCTCCAAACCGGCCAACTTCAACATAGCGGCCGGTGTATTTTCTGTTCAGATCTGAAAAGGTTCAATCGAGAGAGGTTAGTATACCTAGCAATAAGACATTATACATTCTGGCACATACTTCGAGCTATCAGAAGTGAATTTGGCTACAACTTTGATACTTTACTCAGGGCTTGCTTGCTACAAATCGCATACAAATGTCGCCGTCATAACTACTTTAGGCACACTTTATTTGTTCTCCAAGTTTGCGAAAGACAAGAACGTTAATTGGAGCAAAGTCATGACAGTATCTTTCGTACTGGTTGCATTGAAGTCAAAGCAATAACCTACTATCAGGGCTGTGATAACATGACATGATTTTTGCTTATACTTTTGTTTCTCGTGATGTGGTCTTCGGTCACCGCGTGCACATCTTTGTAGGCAGCCATTAGTGTCTCACAGCGACAGCGACAAAAAGACATATATTAGGCTGCGGCTAAACTGAACTATTGGATTACACACGAAGCCTCAATTTTGCATCAATGTATTGAATGTTGCAATGCATGACCGCATTACTCAAGACGTCTACTAGTACGATTGACGAGAAGTCCAACACGCCACGTTCTAACAGCTATAAAAGAACAATTCTTCCTTTACTAATAAGGCATACACAAGATAACTAACTCGTACAGGAGTTTTCAACTAGTAATTCAATCGTGTTTACGAGGAAAAAAAAAACTTGAGATGACTGAATTGCGGAACACAGGGGCGGATGCTCTACAGATTCTCAATATATACTACAAAATGTGATAATATGCTGCGCTATAACATCAAAAGGCTTTTTCCTGTCAAGTCTGCATCATCCTCGCATATGATGAAACTTGGATACATTTATTACCAAATGAGCATTAGCGAATGAGAATACTTTGCCTAATACGAATTTCAAGCGGCAATGCTCCAACCAGCGACAACATTTGTTTCCGCATTTTAGGCGCTCCCCACCGTATTTACGGAAGTGAAGCACAACTACATAATTGAACTCACGAGTACTCTTCTACAGCGCAAATTTTAAAGGCAACCCCACCAGGTCAAAGCGCACTGTGTGATTTCTAGATGTGCCTAGAAATCAGTCATTCAAAGCCTTCGTTACCATCATGGATTACGACGTACTTTTAACTAACACAATCGCAAAGGAACCTAATTCTAGGCCACGGTTTGTGTTTTGAGCATGCGCTGTGAACGCTTCTAAGTGAACGCACGTATCGATTCTTCTCTCTTTGCTTCTTCCTTTCTCTATTCTTTTCCTACCCTTCTCCTCCCTGCACATAAAGTAGCAAATCAGGTTCTACCTGGTTAACCTGCCTGTTTTTCATTTCCTATTTTCTATCTCTTTCTATCTCTTTCTCTCTCGCTCTCTATCCATCAAGGTTGCCATTTGGGCTTGTTGGTTTGCCCCACGGAGGAAGGAAAGGTAAGGAGAGGGCATGCCCAGCCGGCACGGGGCGTGAAAAGTGTGGCGGAAATGACATCATGGCGGCCATATTCACTAGGCACAATGACGGCGTTGATATGGTTACTTGTTGCTCAGTGGAGCTAGTCTCGCAGTGAGCGGCCGCAGCTGGCGGCGGAATGTGTGCCTCCCCAGGTCTCGTGCTGAGCCGTGGCGGACAATGTCCGTGCTCTGCGCCGCGTAATTGGTTACGCAGTGTTTTCCTGGCAGTTACATTACTCTTAGCAACGTTTACGAATCCTTGTCCACCACGGGGTTTCAACAGCGCGTAAAACGAGTGCATATCCATGTGTCGTGCGGCGGATGACATGGATGAAGCAATTATTGTTCAGCGAAATTGCGTTGGGCACCATGACGAAGCGGAACGACGACGAACGCCTTGCAGGTCAGTGATGGTTGGGCATTGCTCCTGCTTGTGACAACGGACGACGCTGTTGGGCCCAGCAAGACGCCATGAGGACCATGTGCACATACGTAGCTTCGTGTTGTGTGTTGATTGATTGATTGATATATGGGGTTTAACGTCCCAAAACCACTATATGATTATGAGAGACGCCGTAGTGGAGGGCTCCAGAAATTTCGACCACCTGGGGTTCTTTAACGTGCACCCAAATCTGAGCACACGGGCCTACAACATTTCCGCCTCCATCGGAAATGCAGCCGCCGCAGCCGGGAATCGAACCCGCGACCTGCGGGTCAGCAGCCGAGTACCTTAGCCACTAGACCACCGCGGCGGGGCTTCGTGTTGTGTGTGTACAGTAACAACTTGCATGTGCGTATTAAAACGCCTTTTCTGTTCCGCTTGGTACACTCTCCACCAGCATTGCATGTAATCTCTACGTAACAGCAACCGCGTTCAACTGTCACTAGCACCGTGCTCAAAGTCACCACGGTCGCAGAATGCTGACGCTGGTGAGTTTCACGCGGAACACTGACACAGTGGCCGGACGCTGCGTCGGCCGCGTGGCGGAATTCAACCGTAGAAGGCGCACGACTGATCGTGTTGTCTGTACAGTTGCTGAATTATATGACGTGAAAGCACTCGCCGTTGTCGGTGCATCTAGCGCGCGTTCTCTCGTAGTTGCTTCGTTGTCGGCGAGCTGTTACTCCCTGTTATTACTCGGACAAAGCGATTTCGCTGAAGGTGTCCCGCAGGCTCAGAGTGATGAGCCCCGTTCCATTAGTTTCGGATCGTCACGACACACGCGCTGCGCAGCCCACGTGCTTTCCGAGCCGGAGAGAGAGTCGTGCCTTCTGCTTTACATTCGGATGTAAACAAGCGAGGAGAATTTGCCTAGTCAATATGGCCGACTTCCGGCTTCATCCCGGCTTCCCAACGAGTGACGTCAGGGCCTCTCTTTACCTTTCCTTCCTCCGTGGTTTGTCATTTGTGAGCATAAACCCATTCAACGTTTGTAAACATGAGTATGCGCCGTCAATTTACTGAGGTGCTTCTAGCAACGTTGAGGCGTGCAGGCTCCGCCCAGCCCAAAGCTCGCCACTACCCGCGGGAGGCTTCCCGACACGCTATGCTCGGAGGCAGCTTTGCAGCTGCTGTGCCAGTTGTCAAGTGATCATAGGGTGCGGCGCCAAGCTTTGGACTGGGCGGAGCCTGCGCGCCACGACGCTGCTACAAGCGCCTCAGTAAGTCGACTGTGCCTACCTCTGTTTACAAAGATTGAAAAGGCCAATAACGCTGCGCATAAATGACACGGACCTAAGAACAGATGACACAACACACTCTCTTTACAATGACCGTATCGTTTCAGTCCCACTTGTTTCTTCGCTGGTGACTTTCTATCAAACAGTCCACGAATACAGCTGGAAATAGGATGACGTTCAAATCATCTGCGCCATTAGTATCAATGGCACGAGCAAAGAGGTGCACCCATGTTTCTCCTCTGGTCGAGCGCTTCCGGTTTTCCGAATATTCAGAAAATGGGCTAAATTAAAAAAAACTGATACGAAATCAATTGTTTCAATTTAGTTTAGGAATTATATTGTGTATATATGATATCAGAACGTACGTCTACCTAGATAAGGTTTAATACCTATTAGAATAATCAGTAAAAATTAATTTCATGAGCTAACTGAAAGAACAGTATATTTTCTTGTGAGCAGCGGTGATCGTTGCGGCACCTGGCGGAGGAGGTCTCAACACCGCGCTTTTTTCTCAAGGGCCTCCGGGATCCGTTTCGTTAGTGCGACAAACGACAAAGTTAGCCAAAGGAATACATGAGGACACACGAAAGCCGAGGTACGAGTGCCACTACAAGAAGTCAAGAAGTCTACATTTCAAGGGCTCGTTTTCTTTGTTAGACACAATATATATGAGATCCGACAGGCTATCATGCAACGGAAAGTACAGGGAATGTTATAAGAAGTAATTGTAGTGTAAGTGTTAAGAAAAAAAAGTGGACGGAAATATAGGACGCGTAGAGCATCGAATGCGTTATTCGAGGGTCACAGGTTTGGTCCCTGCACAATCCAAGTTATCTTTTCGTCCACTTTTTTTTTCTTCACATTTATATTTAAAAACTTTCCAAAAAATACCCTTTTTCCGTGGCATGATTGCCTGTCATGAAGTCTAGTATTATGGTCGCCTACAGTTGTTTTTATTATTATTATTATTATTATTATTATTATTATTATTATTATTATTATTATTATTATTATTATTATTATCTCTAGTCATGGTAGTAGTAGTAGTAACAGCATAACAGGTGGATTGTTGTGAGACGTAATGAGACCCAATCTCTGACCAAATAATCACAGCGAACTCTGAAGCACCAAAGGTAGCCTTCCCTGCCACAGGAAGCTCATTACATGATCAGAATATCTGTATTGCTACACACACGCTCTCCACACAGTTTAACATTACCATATTTGTAGGGTCACAGCAAGCACTACACCTATCCACACAGACATTCAAACTTCAGAAACGGCGAGAAGGACAGAGAGCGGCAGAGAGATATGGTGAGGGAGAGGGCATTGACGTCAGAGTTGTTGTCCTATGAGACGTGCTTGTTATGCGCGAGTGATGTGCGTTCCGGATAGAAATTGACCATGGTCTTACACGAGAAGATTTTCTCCTCAGCCTCCTGAAGCTGCTCCCTGGAGGACGGACACCAACGTGCCAGCTTCATGTCGCAGGGTGCACCCACTGTACAGGAGGATGGACAGTCTCCGGCACTCGGTGCGCGGGCCGCCTTCGCCGGCGCGGCTGCTGCGAGCAAAAAGAAAGAACGACAGGCGCGCTTGACACGTCACAATACGCCCACCTGCACACGACCGCAGCTATACGACTATACTGCTGCGCTTCACAGAACTAGCGCTATCACTCGCAGTTTTAAAAAGAGCGGAAATTGTATGACTTCTCGGGAACTTTTGTTGCTGGTGTTTTCATAAACTATTTCGCTACATTGCGTTGCACAGTCGCCTCGATGATGTTCAAATGAAAATACGCACACGCAAAAAGCCTAGGGTGTTTTCCATGCGTATGTTGTTGAGCTGCTACGGAAGCGACACGTTACATTGTGGCAACATATGCACGTGACCGAACTAACCATGACGCTTTGCGGTGCGCCCTCATTACGCCTGAATCTAGCTGTCCTGCAGCCATGGAACTATAGCTTATCACGTATACATTTTTACTTAGCCAACCTTCATGGTACCAGGGCCGCTTTTTTTAACACGAAATTGTTCTATGCCGGGGTCCACCACTGCTCCTCTGACATACTTCCGCCACGAAAGTGACCATGAAAAATATATACTAAGATACTGCAAAAAAAAAACCAAAAGGCAACCCTTCGTCTCGCGCAATCCAAACAGCAACATCTCGAGTCCAGACAGTCAGCTCCTGGCGCTAACCATTACGCCACGAAGCGTACGTTGCATAGAATGCTAACGGCAAGCCATTCATTTGAACCATACAACTTTTAGCAGTCCTCAGAGCTTCGAAACTTTGTTGCGTTTCCGTTACCAGTGGCGAAATGGTGCGGTTGAAGGTCATCGCCTCCTCGAAGCGCCGCCTCCACAAAGCGTGGGCGTGGTCTCTCCTGCGCGTGCGCGCTTATCCGACTCGTAACATGAAAGAGGACGAAGGTCATTTCGCACACTACCGCGGCCGCGTTAAACGAGCGCGCTGCTGATACATGACGCAGGAAAAATTGTAACAGTTGTTCGCGCCCCTCCTGCACATACTTGTGCGCTCGTTTCATGCATCTTTCTTTCTCTGTCAACAGCGCGCTTTAAGTGTCAAGCTGTGACAGTTGTTAGTCCGCGCTAGTCCTGTGTATGCTAATTATGTGCGTGCTTTCTGCTTGAGTTGTGCGCTGCAAGTTCGAGATGCTTGCCATTCTTAACGTGACATTGAAGTTTGTTGTTGTTGCTGAAAGAATGCACAATAAACGCTCAACTACCTATGTAAAGACACGTTTCACTTTTGTGTTGTACCGACTCCTATAAAGGAGGATCAGCCACATTTTTTTCAATAATTTTTGAATTCGCAATTGTAACTGTCTATTGTATAACAGAACGCTAAATGAAGGGCTATCTGAGTGGGGTGGCGAAAATTCACTAGTCATGCTTTCTTTCTTTCTTTCTTTCTTTCTTTCTTTTTTCTTTCTTTTTTGAGGAGTTTTTTTACCATGTATATGTGCCACCATCTGCAACGACGTGAAACACACTTATCCGGCTGAGATAAAGGGCCTGCAATAGGTCACATTGACGGGGAACGAACACGAGGTGGTTAATGCGTACGACTTCAAGCCCCAACACTCCTGACTGTATGAAAAAAAGAAAAAAAAATTGCCGCAAGTGCTGGTTGTGCAATCGGTGTAGGAAATTCGACATGTGACATTGAAGAGAACTCTATAGTCACAGCAAACAAGACATGTGAACATGGAACAGTGATAACATTACTCGACAGCAGTGGCTTGCCTTCCTTCTTTGGCCCCCGAAACAATCGGGTAATTTTGATTGGTAAATATAATCTTTAAAGCGGGAAATAAAGTTTTAGTCATGTAAGTACTAATGACGATTGTTTTGGGCAACTTTCAATAAGGGTAGTCTCCAAAGTCATTCGCTGCTGACCTCAAAGCTTATCCTTCAGCAGAAATTTAGTATAGCTGTACAGTGTTACATGATCAGTTCTCCCATCATCGGTCTCGTCCCAACAATGCATGACCGAAGGACATAAAATGTTAACTGCACGTAAAGTACATGTCACACCCAGAACCGAAATATATAAATCTGCGAATGTCAATATCTATAATGTTAAACTGCAAATAATGTCAAAAACTGTAAATGTCAATATCACGGTGCCGAAGAGTGAACATGTTCCTTTAGACAGCCTTTCAAAGCTTTGAAATGTGAAGTTATGACGTCTCATAACACATTGTTCCTAGTTCACTCAGCTGAAGCTTCACACGACGTCAGAGTCACTATACGACTTCCGAATGACGAGACACAATTTCAGTCTTCGAATATAATTGTCCTGTCGTTTTTCAAAGTGCTTGATTTGATCACGTCCCTCTGACATTAGTGAATTAGACACAGCTGGAGCAGGTTTGCGTGCAGTTCACAGGCACTTCGTTGCTTTTCGAGTTCTAGTCTAGCGATATATTTACTTTCTGCCATGTTCTCGAGGGAATTTTCGCGGACGTACAGACGACCTGATTTTTTCGGATTCAAGTCAGTTACGTTCTCCAACTGGGCCTATATAATAAACGTCCAGCGTACGGTACCTTCCAGTAAGAGAAAGCAGCTCCCGATGTATCCCCGCCGCGGTGGTCTAGTGGCTAAGGTACTCGGCTGCTGACCCGCAGGTCGCGGGTTCGAATCCCGGCTGTGGCGGCTGCATTTCCTATGGAGGCGGAAATGTTGTAGGCCCGTGTACTCAGATTTGGGTGCACGTTAAAGAACCCCAGGTGGTCTAAATTTCCGGAGCCCTCCACTACGGCGTCTCTCATAATCATATGGTGGTTTTGGGACGTTAAACCTCATATATCAATCAATCAATCCCGATGTATGCTAATGCAGACAATACGTCACCGGCTGTCGACATGCCATCTCTTAATTCTGGCTCCCGTACGTAACAAGTTTTCAACAGCCTATGGTGAAGTAGTCGGCAACCGGCCGTTGGCAAGCCTGAACCTGTCGGCACATAGGCTACATTATTCGCACGCACTGGCACATGCTAAAAAGTAGAAGATTTTCGACAAATTAGACTGGGATATAGTTATTAATGGCGCTAAAAGACGGCACACAAAAGTGTAAGAGCACAAGGATGGGCGCCAGACTCAGTGACGGCGCACCGACGCCCTTTGACGTATAGGTGCGCATTGCAGGGAGTGTGGATGCGTCCCTCATTTTGAAAAAAAAAAAGCTATAGCATCATCACCATGAGTAATGATCAGAGAACTCGGGAAATACTAGAGGCTTTGCACATTTCTAACACTATCTCATGTATCAGCGTTTCATCTATCACATCATTTTAATAGGAATCCATGACAAAACGTTGCGTGTTAATTACGTACGCGTACGCCATTCTAGGCGCCAAACGCGCCTGCAGTGTTCGAGAAGCTTCGGGACTGTAGAAGATCTTTTTGTTAGGGTCACGCACACTTCACGAACATTACAGATTATTCTAGAGCCCACGCGGCTGCAGGTGATAACGCTAGAATATTCGATAGCACGTGTATAAATGTCGACCCGTTTCAGCGCTTGTCAGCTAATCGACGGCCGACGCTCAGCTCGCTGCTATAAGTGCCAATGTCTTGTGACTTTCCTTTTACGTGGTTAAAAGTTCGGCCGAATAAACAATTTAATCTTCGACTTACTGTCTGCTTGCTTCGTCGACGTCGCGACCCCGAGACACTATTTGTGAGTCAGCGTGAATAAAAATTAGTTGCGAGTCCGGCGCCCATCTTTAATTGTGTTCTCATCATTTTGTGTCCCTTGCTTTTTCTTAGCGCCGTTCATAACTAGTACAAACCCTCGCCGATTCGATTAACTGTCAGTGCTACTATATTGGGTAGTAGTTTGCTTCTTATGGTAATGACCATCATTATTTCCAATTTTCAAGCAGCATACTGACAGACATTACACCAAGAAGGTATTGAGACCAAATATTTACTGTTAATACAATGTGCTTTCTCTTTTACATTATATATACGTGGAGGTGATGCGAAAGGCTTTCAGAAACGAAAGGTTCCACAGAAAAGTGCATACACAAGCATACTGAGAACTACCTCGGCATTGAAAATGTATATTAGCATCACATTAAAAGCGCATCAACCTTTCGCAGCAAGATTAAGAATGGAACCCAAAATGTCACGCCATAATTTTACACACAAAAGAAAAGGAAAGAAATGTAAAAGCTCGAAACAGGCGTCAATTTATTTATTGAAAATTGCGTAAAATTTATTGTACGAAGTCCAAAAGAATAACAAGAAGGGGAAGATAAAAGCTTGCGATAAAAAGTTTGAAACTCGAAAACACAGGATGGGTGCTGAAACTTCCAACACCCACTATCTGTTTTCGAGTTTATGAAAGTACAAAATAGTATTATCTGAAACACGAAGAAGAGATGTCCTATACTCGTTGCAATAACATTGTTTTTATCTACTAATCTTCTTGTATATTAAAGTACCTATCTTCTGTACAAAACAGACGTATTTCTTTTTCGGAAAAAATAATTTGAAATGTCGTTTAATATTACAGGTTCACAATATCTGTGCATTAACATTGCAGAATGACGGTCCTCATTCGTTTCGTATTTGTTGTGTGCCATGTCGCAAGCAGTGTCAAATATAACACTCGTTTCTTTGTCAACCTGAATTTTGTAATTTTTTGTTCCTCAATTTTCTATAAATTTAATACAATTTATCCAGTGAATCTTTCAGCATTTTGTATTTATGGAATAGTGATATAGTGCTGTTATTCGAATATAGACGCCAAGCCTGGGCTTTATCGAAGATTCATGCATCTTAGATGCTGTCTTAGACACTCTTTGGGTGATTTCCTTGTGTATCGCAGTGCGTTTTTGAAGGCTTGTGTCAGTTTTTGCATTTGACATATATCATGCGAAGTATCGCGTAGAATGAGATACACGGTAGACCCATGGCTCGAGTCACGAGGGATATTGTGATTTGGTATTGTTAAAGGGGAACTCCAGTGCATTATCTACCGTACTGAGATAATCCTGTTTTAAAATAATATTAA